GGGAAGAAAAGAGGGAATATGGGCGAAGAGAAAGGGCGGAGAAAAACAGGGGGGGGCGAATAAACAAAGTCCTAAATCGGGGAATCTATAAAGGAGGTTGTGGAGTCGTGAGAGCGTACCTTTAGTAGCGAAGGCAATGGGCATAGGGGACGGGGAAAGGATGGAACATTCACTTCTGCTAGAGGCGCTAAACGGGGGGAAGAGCGAAAAGCACCAGGCACAAACGTAACTTGGTGATGGTTTGGGTTTAAGGCTAGAGAGAGTACGGAGGGGCCCCTGAAAAAATTGGTCACCAAAATCGAGTTTCGATAAAAGAGGGCGATGTAGGCAAGCAGAGTTCGACGATCAGCCCCCCAGGAAAAATGAGAAAGGGGTTTTAAAAAGGGTTTTAGCTGGTGTGACAAGTTCCTTCAAGGGGTTTATTGAGGTTTCCAGGATAACACGGTAAAAGAAAACCCTAAAAACCGATGTATCCTTGGGGGATAGGGACCATAAAATAAAAAGGATGATCGGATGACAGAGCGTCTAGTAAAAGAAATTTTGGATTTTTGGTACTTAAAATTTAAACCCATGCGTGGTGGCCCAAGGGGAAACAGGGTCGCCCGCATGCGGAGAGAAAACTGCAATGAGATGACAGTCACGCCTGCACAAGCATAGCGGTCATCAACTAGAGTGATGCCAAAATATTGGGTGGAAAAACAGGGGTCAAATCATTTATAGAAAGGGAGAAAAAGTGTTGGCTTGAACCACCCGGGGGGACACCTTCGCTTGGACAAAGCCCGGGGAAAGAACATTTTTGACTCGAACACGGAAATGTCTGTCTAAAAAAGTTCAAAGGGAAAGGATGGTAGTTCCCTCGGAGGCCTAAGGAGGGGGCCCGGGGCCAAAATATTATACCCCCAAGTTGTGTCATAGCCTTCTAAAGGGTCAAAAAATATGGCTAACTGAGTGATTATTGAAAAGGGCATTACGAACATAAGTATCCAAGCGAGTAAGGGACTAGGTAGAACGGCCCCTTAAAAAACCCATATTGACTAGCAGAGATGTTTTTGTCTCTAAATCCCGCATTAAACGTCGTTTTACGGACTTTCCATCACTTTCCCAAACTGCACTAGTAAGAGCGTGGGCGATAGTGGGAGGCATCATTCCTGTATTCCCGTTTGGGGAAAAGGGAGAACATGGAGATTTTCCCAGCTGGGGAAAAAAACCCCTTGTGCCCAAATAGATTAAAGAGGTGTAAGAGGACACAAGGGCTGCCCGATGTAAATTTTTATAAAACAAATATAAATGTGTCAGGCCCAGTCCCGAGATCACAGTGAAGCGTTGCCTCCAGTTCTTGAATGTAAAAAGACATTATACTGTTCTTCTCTGGAGAAGAAAAGCCCAAAGGGTACTAACTCTCTGCAGACTTTGAGGAAGAAACAAGGGGCATAGATAGCCCGGGGGAAATACGGCCCAGATGTGTGCAATTTAAAATGGAAACGTCGAGGGGGTTTTGCTACATCAACACCAGCGACCCGTAGAACGGAGCCGGGTCAGGAGAGTATTTACCCTCAATTTCCTCCTTTTTCCAATGCATATGAAAAAGCAGAGGTGATGGTGGAAACAGTCTCCCCAAACAAGTGGTTTAGCTTCACGGTACACGGCGAGCGACCCCGCTTGTTTAAAATAAAGAATTCTCTCAGGGGTTTTCTATTGTACCGGTCCCTCCCCCATGCGCCTTTTTAAAAACGACCCCGAGACAAGGCGGGACCACCAAGGCCGCACTTCTGAGAAAGGGGCCGCCTTGGGTTTGGGGTAAAAGAAAAAAAGCTGCGGTTTAAAAAAAACTGATGTCGAGAAGATTGTTAGGAGCTATCAAGAGGTTTTGGGAAAAAAGGAAACCTATAAAACAGGGGAGGGGTAAAGTAAAGCCCCAATTTGCCCATTCAAATTTGGAAACCTAGGAATGGTGGGAAAAAATAAAAGAGGAAAGAAGGGTTTTAATTGGAAACAAAAAGGGCAGTCGGGGGGGGAAGAAAATGTCGAGAAGAGAGAGAATCAGGAAAAAAGGGGGTAAAACCCAAAAAAAAACAATAACAAAAACCTCCCAATGGATACGGGTCAAATGGGGCCCCCCAAAAAAGGGGGCAAAAAATCCCCAAGAAACGAATTTGGAAAGGTAAAAAGGGAAAATTTTTAAAAATCTCGAAAAAAGGGAAGAATAAAAAAAATGCCCTTTGGGGATGGTGAAAACGCGAGGGGGAAAATTTTGGTTTTTTGGTAAAGAAGCCCCCAAAAAATTGGAAAGGCCAAAAAAAAAAAAAAAAATTTACCAAAATTATTAAAAACCCCGATTTAATTTGGTTTTTTTAAAAAAAAAAAAAAAAAAAAAAAAAAATTTCCATGAAAAATATTGGGAGGAAGAAAATATCAGGAATCTGTGGGTAAAGGCCCCTACGGACTAAAGGGTTAGAAAAGTAAACGTGTGGGGGCTTGGGAAGAGTTAAAGTAGCGAAGGAACGGGGTTGCAAAAAAGGGGGTTTGTGAAGATGGGGGAAGGGAAAAAAAGGAACAGGAAGTAAATTCGGGCCCTTTGGAAGGGTTTATCTCTGCAATATTTTTGAAAGATTCAGTGTTTCTGAATTCAAAGATGTAGGGAGACCATATTGGAGATAAAAGGGAGGGGGTGAGAAAAGTTTGGGGACTAATGGACTGTCCCAAAAAAGAAAGGGGGGAGGGGAAGAGTGTAAGGACTGGAGTGAAGGGGTTGGGGGGGGGGACGGGGCAGAAACGGGGGTGGGGGGGGGGGAAAAATTGGGGGGGGGGGGGGGGGGGGGGGGAATAGTAGAGGAGGGGGGTGAATCTCCACACTTGTAATAAGCCAGAGGAGGGGAGAACTAGGTACGAGACTGGAAAGGTAAAATGGGAGGGAAGAAGGGGAAAGGAAGGGGGAAAGAAGATTTTGGGAATGTGGTTTTTTTGGGCTTTTGGTAAGGGGCGATTGGATTAAGGTGTCCCTACGGGTCCTGTCGAATGGGGGGTGAGGAAGGGCGCGAAGATGTGAGAAAAGAGGGAAAAAAAATCGGGACGTCGAGCCGGACAGCAAAAGGATTAGTCCGTAGTGGCTATGGGAGGGTAACAACAGAGGGGCTGAAAAGAGGGACCCCCCGAAGTGGGGGATGTTTGGAACCGAATAAGAACACGGGTAGTCTCCCCCGGGGGCGGGATGAGTAACTGCCATAGATAAGGGGGAAACCTTCGCCTCTTTGAGGCAAAGGTTTCACGTTCATTTAAGTGACCCGGAACGGCGGGGGTACGAAGGGGGAGCTTCATTACAATTAAGGCAAATGGAGGTTTACTGCAAGGTTATTTTGAATGGTGTCGGCACCAAGACTGGGCATTGGCCATTTTTTCTGCAATATTTCGCTGGGTGACCAAAAAGCCCGCAATTTCTACATTGTTGCGGTGTTTGGGTTTACCTTTCGAAATTTTAACCGATGTCCCCCGACAATACAGGGAGGGGTTCTCGGCTGTCAAAGTTAAACGAGCCACTTTGAAAGGGTAAAAGTCTCCCCCCCGGGCAGGAAGGACCATAAGTGTCTCTTTGGGATTGGGAGATCCTGGGTTCCGCTGTTCAAAAAATGTCATTGCCCCTGCTGGAAATTCTGTAGGGGCAGAATGACCCTACCATACAAAAATTAGAGAAAGATGTTTTTCAATAGTGATAGGGGTAGTATCGATATTCGAAAGGAAGAAAATCATGAGCTTGGTAGCTTCTGGACAGTGACGATCTAACCGCTCTTGAAGCATAAAAGAAAATATCTCTACAACAGACGCAGGGCCTTTGCCAAAACTTTGGGCCGAAAGGTAGGAGAAAAAGAAGAAGTCGGTCTTAAAATAAAAAATTATCCCTTGTGTGGTCCGAAAACGACGTGGGAGGGGGTGCTTGACGTGCGGTCTTTTCCGGTAGAATGGGAAAGGGAACGAAGGAGCATCATCGGAGATTGACGTTGGCGTTTGGAGTTCCTGAGTTGTGGCATGAAAGGGCGGGCGATTCGAAAAAGCCTACCCAGAGGAGAACCGGGAAACATATCAAAGGAAGGGGGGTTCAGACAAACAAGGGGTCAGCGAAGCCCCGGGACGAAGCGGTGAGGGGAAAAAGCACCGCAAGAGGTACAGGGGCATCAGGATGTCCGAAGGTGGTCAAACACAGGAGGGTCGAATGGGGTGCGGTATCAAGAAGGGGCCCGGGGGGAGTGGGTTCAGGGGTAGGGTGCCCTGGGTTTGGGTTTCCCTTTGCTTTTTTTTTTTTAAGAAAAAAAAAAAAAAAGAAGAAAAAAAAATTAAAAAAAAAAAAATAAAAAAAAGGGGGGGCGGGAGGAATAGTTCCCGGAGGAAAGAAAGGGCCGGGAAAACTCCCCCCGTGCCCAAGAGGACCTCAACACGCTTTTTGCGATGCGCATGGAACCCTCCAACCTACCCTTCATGCAGAAACCAGCAATCCGGGGTAGAACCTCAAAACTGCCGAGCTACCTGGTGGACAAAAAAAGGGGGGGGGCCGGAACCCCCACAAAGATCCCCCTTGGCCACCACCCCGGATCCGAAAAGGGGGCGTCCCGAGATACACCCTGCCCAAAAAACACCCAAAACTACTCCGGATACCCGGGGGGGGATCGGGACATCCCCCCAAACCGATTCCCCGGGGAAAAATACGCCACCCCCAAGAACCTCAAGGAATGGGATGGACCCCCGGGGGGGTTTCCCCTACCAGGAATGTGCGCCTGTGGGGAAAATCCCAAAAGGCCCAAAAAAAGGAAGGGGAAAAGGGAGGGGGGGGGAGGGGGGGAGGAATGGAAAAGGGGAGGATGGGTAGGGGAGGGGAGAAAAGGGGGGTAATTAGGGTTTGGTCGGGAAAAGAAGACCCACAGGGCTAATTCCTAGACCAAAAGCCCTTCCCCCCAAGGAGCCCCCCTTGGAGGAAAAATTTTTAACAAAAAAAAAAAAATAAAATAAAAAAAAATAAAACCTAAACCCTGATGGCAAAAAACTCAACACACCTTTTTTCATCAGAACAGCTGTGTTTTCACGCTAATGGGTGGTATTAGAATTTCCCCTTCAAAATTTTTTTAAATTTCAAGTTTTCTAGACTTTTTGGGGGCGCTTTTTACCCTAAATCAAAGGGGGCCCCCCCAACTGAATAGCAGGGCCCGGGGCTTCTTTAAACTGGCCCTGAGGATGGGGACCACACACCAAGTTCTGCTTTTACGAGAAATTTGATGATGGTTATTCTTAATTTTATTTAAAAAAGGGGGGGAAAGGCAAACCGGGGGTTAACAGGCCTGGGGGGGGGATGTGGAAGGCTTCGGGTTAATTCGGGAATGGAGCACAGATCCTTCCCTAAATCAAGACCCCTCACCAACTCAAAGGAAACCTTCCTTGGGGGGATGGTTATTCAGATATTAAAAATGTTGTGTATTTTTACAGAAATTTTCAGGCAGTGTTGAGATTCAATGTAAACATCAACAGGCTTGACTGACCAAACCATCAACTAGCTCTGATTAGAGATAAAGTTACTAAAGCAGCAACTTTTGCAAGGCAAGTTCATATAAAATTTGTGTAGAAGGAAAATGATAGATTACAATGTTATATTAATTTAATAATCTTTATTAGAATATAAATAAAGTGCAAGTATGTTTGTTTCCATTACACACACTGTGTTACACAACTGTAGAAAAAACTAGAATCATAACTTTAGTGGGATAACCAATTTACAATAATTTACTTAAAATGCGACATATTTAACAAATTAATGCCAACACATCAAAGTACAGAGGAATGCCTCTCATTACTTTAGTAGATAACCAATGCATTATTAGATCACCAGTTGTGAATATATTTAACTTATAATCGGTATACAATAACTATTTGTAAGAGAAGAAGTGGATATGCATAAGTAGTTTTGTAAAGAAAGGCACTCACTACAATTTATCATAGCCAATTGTTGAATATATTTACAAGGAACCTGAGGAAACATTGCAAATTTCCTTGAAACTGTTTTAGCTTTACAGCTAAATTTAAATATGATAAAACTGCACAAGTCAACTGATAGGGACAAGATCAGTTATCAGGAATAATCTATATAATATATATAGAAAGCTTAAATACAAGTTTTTTCAAGCATTTTGTTATTTTGTACAGGGCAGTGAGATTATAAAACCAGCTTCACTGTTGCTGCTGATGGGATGAATGGTTCACACTACTACTTGCAGTCTCTATCTTAACTGCTTGTTCTGGAGACGCTTGCACTATGACTTGACTGTGACTTATGTGTGTCTGATTTGCATCCACTGGCACAGATGAGTGAGTTACTACTATATTTCCTTGACTAACATTCTGATTCACATGTGACTGGGACACAACTACTTGACCATCCAAGGTTGCAACATGTTCTATCTCATCAGTAATGCTATCAGCAAGAATAACTTGGTCAGCAGTTACCTGGGATATTACCTGGCCTGTGGTAGGATCAATGGTGACTATGTGAGCTCCTTGAAGGAGATCAGGTGAGACATCCTGTGACAGTACCACTTGTGCAACACCTTCAGGTAAGTTGATCTGACCTCCTAATACCCCAGCTACATGCTGCAGCACCACTTGACCATCACCAACATCTACAGCCTCTACTTGAGTCACCTGACCAGCCTGGCTCACCTGTACATGTCCCTGAGCTGCCTGTTCCTGTGGCACAAAGTGATGAGAAACTAGAGGCACTTGTTCATTCATTATATCATCCATCATTTCTTCAACACTCTTACCTGCTGTGTAAAACTCTTCCATTTGTTCCATGGTAACTTTCCATTCAATTAGCCGCCATAAGTTGTACTTGAGTACTTCATATTGTCCTTGACCATAGTCTTCAATCATCTTTACACCATAATGCTGCAATACCCTACCCAGCACCACAGATACATGCTCCTCCAACAGCCCACAACTGAGAAGTAAATCGTGATCGAATAACTTTTCTAACAATCGTCGGCACTTCATGTCTAAAGTGTCTGCCATGATAGTTTCTGGTTCTCTTGGATGTGGCTGTTCAATTACTGATAAAACTTTGTTGGTGTTCTCATTATTTAATCTATTTCCTTCATAATTTACTGGAATGGTTTTTCCAACCTGTGGAAGAAGCCCTGCTAGTTTATTCATATTAACCTTTACACCAGAGCTGTACACATCAGTAACAGTTGTGGTTACTGGTGCTATTTCTCTAGTAACTATAGACATTATTGGGTGAGGACGAGCATAGCTGATAATTGAAGCACTACTGACTGCTGTTGGCTCCATATCATCATCATCATCATCATCATCATCCCATTCTGATCGTAATGCAGCAATTTCTGGATTTTCTGGCTCCAAAGGTGGTGCATCCATAATTTGTGGCTGACTGGTACTGGGAACATGCTTGGTGGAACCGCGACCAGGCTTCACGTCTGGAGAAAAAATTGGTTTGTTTTGATGTACCGACTCTATGTGACGATGAAGCTTGCCTTCAAATCTAAATTCTCTGCTACACAATTTACAAGAATATGTGGGAATACAAAATGACATAAGTTCAACTGGTGGGGAAACTATATTTCCAGAATTGCTAGTGGTCACAAAATAATCTTCCTTCTTTGACTTATTCGTAAGTGGGTTGGCTGTGATATCAACAGGATAAGAGCCAACCCGATTACCCACTTTCATTTTCATATCCTCTGATTTATTTTCTATTCTCATTCTCTTAACACTGTGATCTTGAGGTTTATCAGCACTGCTCATCATAGTGTGAGATGCATTTGAGATATTCATTGGTCGCTTCTCTGGTTGTCTTGTAATGTCTTTTAAGATCTGCTTCACTGGTTCTTTTGAAGGATTTTGTACAACTGTTCTTACTGGTGATGCTATATCAGGTTTCTCATGGAAGTCTTTCTCCTTCACCTTAACTTTAACTTTGGTGTGAGCTTTCATACCTGGCTTTGATAAGGAGAAGCACGTTTCACAGTTCTTCATGTTACACACGAAATCTTTTCCATGCTGCTTGTTTTTGGCAATACGCTTACCTCGCCCCTCTGTTTCACCTTCCTCTTGTGCAGTGACTGTATTTTTCCCATCATCTGTTCCAATGTTTGTTCTTGACTCTTCTGTCCCATTGGCATTCAAACCTTTTGCTTTTTCTGACTCTGCATTCAATAGAGTTCTCATCATACTCTTCCTTATAGCACGCAATTCTGCAGCCCCTGACAGCCCAAAGAAAATTTTTTTCCTACCTCTACCTCTTGGCCTCTTCATAGGTATGCAAACAGTTACACCTCTGCCTTTAGAACCTGGTATATCAATTATTTGAGTTTTGTTTTCAACCTCTTGCTGTTCATTTTCTCTCTGTTTTTGTTTGGCTGAATATGATGGCGTTTCCTCCTTAGACTTGTCTTGAAGTTCTACTCTGTTATCTGTTTTGGACTTGAGAGAGGTATCTTGGGTAGTGCTACCTTGGTCTTCTTTTTCATTACTCTGAGCCTTTTCTACCATATCATTTCCCTCTTCATGTCCTTTCAGCTCTATTCTTTCATCTTGCAATTTTGTACCTAAACCCTGTTTAGTCATAGAAGAAACCACTTGTTGTATTAGTGTATGTTCATCCTGTGTAACTTCTGCAACATCCTCTTGAGAGGGTTTTGAGCTTCCTTGCACAATTGCATCAAATGCTGCATCCTGTACTGGATCAGATGCCATTTCTGTTGAATCAGGCATAGCAAATACTTTATGATCTACCTGTTCCTCTCCCTCCTTTTGTTGTTGCTGCTGCTGCTGCTTCTGTTGGTCCTCCTCTTCATCTGAGCTGTAATTGCGATCCATACCATCATCAAATATATCATTTTCATACATGTCATCATCTGCTGGACGTGGTGTTGGAGGAGCAGAAACCTGGGTGCTTGTGGACACCTGCCCATGATACTGACGAGGAATAATGACACGGCCACCTTCTTCATCAGTTTGAGTTGAAGTTGTGCACATGACCTTCCTAGTTCTCCTTTTTGATTTATTGTTCAGCGCATCTTTGGGAGCTTTAAATATTTGTGGGGCAAGGCCAGTCTGCCTGAGTTCTCCATCCAAAAGATTGCCAACTGTAGGCAGTTTATCAATAATACTACCTTCTGCTACAGCGCCATGATTCCATTGGACATGCCGTTCATAATCACTCAAGCGGATGAATGAACGAGGACAATGCTCACACTTGAACATTCGAGGCCCCAATTTTTTGGTAAAATGTTCATCAATAACCTTTGTATGACGTTTAATGTGCGTAATGAGGTGATTCTTTTGAGTGAAACATTTACTGCAGAGATGACACTTAAAAGGCTTCTCACCTCTGTGAATACGAAGATGAATATTTAAAGCCCCAACTGTGAGAAAGGCCTTGTGACACACATCACAATATACACATTTACTTTTGTCGTGAAGACGCATGTGAACCTTAACACAATCTTGACGACTGAATCTTTGGTGACAAACAGGACACTCAAACTGTTTTTCAATTCCATGTATTACCAAATGTCCCTGAAGGTGTACTTTGCGGGCAAATGATTTTGGGCAATGTGGGCATTGAAATGGCTTCATATCAGAATGTATGGCCATATGCTGTACAAGTGTCTTTCCTGTCATCATCATTTTACCACAGACTTCACAGTCAACAGGTAATTCCAAGGATTGGCTGGAACCAAAGGCAGCAGGGATCCCTGGTTCTCGTTTGACAGAAGCCAAACTACTACGTGCGCCTTTACCTTTGCCACGGGTTGCAGGTTTGGTTGGTCGCATAAGGTCTTGTGGAGAAAAGATGATAGTGCCTGGTGGTGGCTCCATTCCTTCAAGAGTATGAAATTCACTTTCCATATTTGGGAAATCCTGGAAATGATTCAGAATTTTAAGTACATTTCAATACATAAATAAAGCCACAGTATTATATAAAATTACCATAAATTAATGTATTCCATTTATCATTACTTACATTGACAATAAATCCTTTACAATATAAATCAGTTTAATAAAGATATTCTTATATAACAGATTAAAATGTACCAGAAAATGCCTACCTCATCCTGACCAGAGAGGGGTTGTGATTCTACTGCAGAAACCATATGACCTTGTTCATTACTGGCAGTAATGATAGTATGCATTGATCCTTCAATATCTCCTTCAGCTACGCTGTCATCCATCAACATTACTTTCACTTCCCCACCGCCCACGCCCATCACCTCGATAGAAGATGAAGCCATGACCTGAAAATCAAACAAATTTATAGTATGAAAGCCTAAATTTTCAGTGCTCAAAGTAAAGTAAAACTGACTGGTAGACTATACTGTACACAAAAATAATACACAAATAATTATACAGTATTTCCAAACATTGCTACAATATTTTGTTAATACGTAGTTTGCGGAGTACTGTATTACAATTTTGGCTGGGATAATACTGCCTTTGGAAAACCCATATTGTTTTGGACAGCTAAAACTTGTACATTACATTATTTTACATGACTGAATTTTAGGAAAATTACTTATAATAAGTGTAGCTCCAGCAATCAAGATAAACTAATTCAAGGTACAGTATTAGTCAAAGTTTATTTCTACATAATACAATATTTATACAGAAATGTGCGACACATGAAAGCATGTAGAATGCCATGGTTATGCAGATCAGGTAATTAGGTAAGCTTAAGCCTATCTTTACACTACAAAAGCATTAAACATTATGTACAGTACATGTATTTAAGGTCATTAAATGTATACGTACAAGAAAGTACAGTGGACTCTTGGTTATCGTAATTAATCCGTTCAAGAGAGTGCGACTAAAGCCGAATTTGACGATTTCTGAATTCATTTTCCCCATAAGAAATAATGTAAGTCTAATTAATCTATTCCAGACACCCAAAAGTATTAAAATAAAAAAAAAAATTTACATGAAATATATATTTACCTACACAGAAAACAATGAGACATGAAGAATAAAACAATAATAACATGACACTTACCTTTATCAAAGACTCTTCTTAGTGTATTGAAGATGGAAGGAGGGAAGAGGATGGAGAAATTACTGTTTGGAAGGGGAATCCCCATTCATAAAGACTTCAGGTACCAAGTCCTTTTCTGGGGTTACTTCCCTTCTTTGTTTTTTAATGCCACTAGGACCAGTTTGAGAGTCACTGGACCCCTTTCGCTCAAAAAAGTGTTCCAGAGAGGTCTGTTTCTAGTGTATGTTAGGAACTGTGGCAGTGGCAGGGGAGTGTGTTAGGAGACAGGACAAGACAGTCCTTCAATGTGACACTAATATCAACTCTATGGTTTATTTATCTAGCACAATTCATCTAATATGACATATTAAACAATATTAATAGTACAGAAACACGATATATATACTCTAGAATGAATAAAATATGTCATTACGTATGTGATGAGTGTTGTGTTGTTTGTTGTTAGGTGTATAAGGGCCACTGAAAGATGAGCCTTATATAGTGGTGGTGATGGCGGCAGCAGAGGTGGCGGTGTTAGTCAGTAGCCCTATATACCTCCAACAACATTGGAGGAATAAGTTTCGTGCTGTCCTTTTTCTATCGATTAATCGCTTAACTTACTTGCTACACTGTTAATGCTACAGTTTATCACTGGCTGGTGCTATAGCCTTTATTGACTCCTGCTGCTTTAATAGTGTACATATCGCAGAATCACTGAAGAAGGCACATTCTCCCCTCTCTCTCAACCCTTTACCAAAGGGCTGACTGGCACTAGGAACTTTCTTTGGGCCCATGGTGGCTTATTTAGCAGTTGCAAGCACTAAGAAGAATGGAATAACATGAAATATATCACATGAACGCGTGGGATCGTGCTCACTGGCTGATAAACAATGGCACACTGAGTGTCGGGCTGCTGTTGCTGTGTGGACGTGTTTGGGACGAATGACTATTACTGAGCTCAATGACAATCACAGAGCCAACATTTTGACGAAAAAACGTTACGATTTCCGAATATTACGAAATCCAAAGACTACGATATCCGGGGGTCCACTGTATTTGATGAGTGCCTCTGCAAAGACAGTGATTACGTATGAGCGATGATAAGTGTTGAATGATGAACGTTTTTTCCTTCTTTTTGGGTTGCCCTGCCTCGGGGGAATGGCCAATGTGTTAAAAAAAAAAATAAATAACTGACCACATCCCATCGAGGCAGGGTGATCCAGAAAAGAAGAAATTAAAGTTTTTCTTCTTTTGATATTTAGTAATTTATACAGGAGAAGGGGTTACTAGCCTCTGGCTCTTGGCATTTTAGGTGCCTCCTATGACACACACAGCTTATGGAGGAAGGATCCTTCTCCACTTTCCCAACGTACATGATTACAGTAGGACCCCTCGTATTCGTGGGTCTAGCATCCGCAGTTTCAGTTAATCTGCTGTTTACCATGAGCCAAAAATAACCTTTAATTTGCTTAATAATGGCCTCAATGTGCAAAAGTAGTGATGGCTGATGTTCTTCAAAGCCTAAGAAGCCGTGAAGTGCTTCCCGTCAATAAAAAAGTAATAATTCTCCACTTGTGCATAATTTATTAACTAAACTTTATAATAGGTATGTATGTAAATAAAAAAGACTTGCACATAAGGTTCACTACTATCCAGTTTCAATATCTGTGGCAGGCCCTTGAAATGTATCCCTCATGGATATGGGGGTCCTACTGTATAAGAAAAATTATTTGGGTTGTAGTAAGTGGATAGGTATATTTTTTACATTAGACAACATTAAATTCAGGAACTCGAATTCTTAAGGCGGCGACTATTCACAATAACAGCTTCATACTTTATATTTCCAAAAATAAATTTAATCTGAAAAATAACTGACTCAAAAAGGAAATGAGGGATGCTGAATTAGAGAAGTGTAGAGTTGATGTGTGTTTACAGTGGTATTACTTAATGACAAACAAAAACAAACAAGCAGACAGACTATCTCTTTCAAACTAGATTGCAAACTGTAATAATGTTGGCAGAATTACCAACAATATATTAGGTAAAAGGACACACGTAACTTATACAACATTTTAGTGTGGCAAGATTTCACTCTCCAGGAGCTTTGTTAAGCCATTACAAACAATACAGGGACACAAGAGGGGTATATATAGACTATTAGAGTGAGATGTAAAACTTTAAAAAAATTGTTGTAAGAATCATTATCGGATTGTTCCTCAGAGCATACCAAATTTGCAGTCCAGAGTTTCTTGACGTGGAGTGTGCATACATACACCAAACCGTCACTGTGCTACACTTTCCTTCCTTTTTCATCAAAGACTGAAAAAAAAAAAAAGAGACCTTCAATCATCAATTCTCTATGCACTAACACCACTTCTAACAGTTATAATCCTTCCCAACAGCCAGGTTACACTGGACATCCCCAAAGTACTTGTACAAGCTAACACTAGTCATCATCACAACCAGCACCTTTATAAAAGATCTGACTATGGCAAAATTGAAGAACCTTGAACCAGTCAATGAAGGGGTTGAAGGGGTTTATGCTATTTCCTATGGAGGCTGTAACAAAATACAGTGGTCCCTCAATAATCGTCTAGCCTGAAAGTTGTCCATTTCGGAAATAGTCCCGTTATTTCGTCTAAACATTGGCTCGCAAATGGTCCGTTAACTCGCTAATCGTCCTTTGTCCGGGACGCATACTTACGCTCTGAACCGCCTGGGCCTGCCTTCCCAGCCAGTGTACCATTGTTTACCAGTGAGCGATGGTCCCCTCACTTGCTCCTACGAAATATTTCATAATATTCCATTGATTTTAGTGCTTGTAAGTGCTAAATAAGCTACCATGGCTCCAAAGAAAGCTTCTAGTGCCAGCCCTTTGGTAAAGAATGTGAGAAACACATATAATTTATTAAAAAGTTTGGTAAGTAAGACACATAGGCAACAGATAGGCAGCTTTATTCCGAAACGTTTCGCCTACACAGTAGGCTTCTTCAGTTGAATACAGAAAGTAGGCAGGAACAGTAGAGATGTGAAGACGATGTAATCAGTCCATCACCCTTGAAGTCGTAGAATTTGAGGTTGTCAGTCTCTCAGCCTGGAGAAGTTCAGTTCCATAGTCAGGAACTGTCTTACTTACCAACCTGTCGGTATTGTATATCATTTTGATGTTCATGAAAAAGTTTGTAGAAAAATACAAAGGTAGTGGTGGTGGTAGAGTGGAAGCAGTTGTGATAGTGGTTGATGATGGTAGAAGGTAGTAGTGATGGTGGTAGAGGGTTCCTTCTTTAGCGATTCAGCGATTCTACCAACTCCTCCAATGTTGTTGGAGTTATATAGGGCTACAGAAAACACCACCGCCTCAGCTGCTGCTTCACCACCATTATGGATGGCTTACTTTCAGTGGCCCTTATATACCCAACAACAACACAACACAACACCTCTCGTGACATTGTAATGACTTATTTTATTCATTCTAGAGTATATTCCATGTTTCTATGTTATTAATATTGTTTATTATGTCATATTAGTTGAATTGTGATAGATAAATAAGCCGTAGAGTTGATATTAGTGTCATATTCTCCAACAATAAACTTAAAGCAACGTTTCGCTCTCCAGGAGCTTTATAAAGCTCCTGGAGAGCGAAACGTTGCCACAATAAATGTCACATTAGTTGCACTTGTGTCCTTTTACTTTACATATTGTCGGTAATTCTACCAACTTTATTACAACAATAAACTTGCCATCCCTCCCTCACATAAACAAGTCTCCAATAAGAACATAAGAAAAGAGGAACACTGCAGTAGGTCTGTTGGCCCATACTAGGCAGGTCCTTTACAATCCTTCTCACTAAGAACAACAATGGAAGAACACTGCAGGTCCACTGGCCCATACAAGGCAGGTCCTTATCAAAATGACCTCTACCCAAAACTACCCAAGAATTTACTCCCATACCCAATGACACAAATCAAACTCAGCCCCTCCCACTCATATATTTGTCCAATCTGTTCTTAAAGCTACCCAAGGTCCTAGCCTCGATCACCCTACTGGTAAGTGTGATGTTAAATAAGAACATAAGAAAGTAGGAACACTGCAACAGGCCTGCTGGCCCATACTAGGCCGGTCCTTCACAAATCCAACCCACTAACAGAACAAATGCTACCCAAGCAATAAGCTCAGGTGCAAGTCCGACTCAAATCCAACCTTTCTCACTCATGTATTTATCCAACCTAAATTTGAAACTATCCAAGCTATAGCTTTTAGAACATAAGAAAGGAGGAACACTGCAACAGGCCTGCTGGCCCATACTAGGCAGGTCCTTCACAAATCCAACGTACTAACAGAACAAATGCTACCCAAGCAATAAGCTCAGGTGCAAGTCCGACTCAAATCCAACCCCTCTCACTCATGTATTTATCCAGCCTAAATTTGAAACTACCCAATGTTTTAGCTTGGATCACCCTACTAGGCAGACTGTTCCACTCATCAACTACCCCTATTACCAATGTTCATTTATACATTTTATTAGTGCTTTACATTTATTTGGCTTTTTTTCTGCATGTAAATCTATATTTATACTAGGGAAGTGACCCCTGAAGTGACCTAGAGTCCTTATGGAGGGGGATTCCCCTTACAAACAATAACCTCTCTTCCCTCTCTCCTCCTCCCTGTCTTCCATTCATCAACTGCCTTCAATAAAGGTAATTGTCATGTTGAATGTTCATTCTTTTGTGCATGTAAATCTATCTTTTAGGTAAAAAAAAAAATTTTTGTTGATACTTCTGGGTGTCTGGAACGAATTAATTGGATTTACATTATTTCTTATGGGGAAAATTGATTCGAAAATCGTCTATTTCGATAATAGTCTCACTTCCAGGAATGGATTAAGGACGATAATTGAGGGACCACTGTATACATAGGTGAAACAGCAAGAAACCTCGAAACACAGTCTCAATTAACACATTAATGCATGCAAGATCTCAGAAGCATTAGCAAGAATTCTCCTCCGAACAATAAACGCTGCCATCACACTGCTGCTGCTAGTACTACTGCTACTGTCTTATTTTACGTTAATATAGACATTTTCATTAATCCATCTATGATATTTTCTTCAAAATTATACAAGAAATACGTTACATAGCATATAAGCATGCAATGTTTATATGCTATGGAGGGGTGGTGGTCAGTGAGGGGGGGGGAACATTACGTTTTCTCTGGTCCACCATTAGAGAAAACATGTATGAATCTGCGTTGGCCCAGTCACCGCCCTTAACCCGTAAACGGTCCAAACAGATCTATGTTCACATGCGTAGTGCTCCAAAAGTAGATCTATTTTTTTTTTTACATATTTTCAAATACGTGTATAACAAAAAAACAAAAGTAGATCAAAGTTTTTTATACGTTTTCAAATTAAAAAAAAAAAGATCTATTTTTTTTTACATACTTTCAAATGTTGAAAAAACATATACTATATACGTCTGGACCGTTTACGGGTTAATACATGACGCTTTTGTTTACAATTCTCGGCATAAATTATTCATTACTTCTCCCTTTGTTTATGATGGCATCTAAAGGTAGTGGTTAGAAACAATTAAACTCAGTGAAATATGTCGATGGTACTAATATGGCTCTGGGCCACAGTGTAGGTAGCCGGTAGGTGTAGCCCACCTGGGCTACACCTACCGGCTACCTATACTGACTTCCTACTAATAAATGCTACTCAGTCTCTCTCCCTACATTAAGACTACAAATATTTTAAGGTAAGTAATGAATGTACAGTGGTCCCCCGCTTTTCGTAGTTCCCGGCAATCGTAAAATTCGCCAATCATAGGGGTATTTTCGTATAAACATGGACTTGCTTTTCATAGGTTGACTCGCGAGTCGTAGTTCGTCCGGGACGCGTACGCACGGCGTGGGCCAGGGCGGCAGCCAGTCTGGCATTGTTTACCAGTGAGCAAAGGTCCCCTCGCATGCTCCAGCGAAATATTTCATAATATTCCATTTATTTTAGTGCTTGCAAGTACAGTGGACCCCCGCATAGCGATTTTAATCCGTGCAAGAGGGCTCATTGTTATGCGAAATGATCGGTATGCGAATGAATTTTCCCCATAAGAAATAATGGAAATCAAATTAATCCGTGCAAGACACCCAAAAGTATGAAAAAAAAAAAAATTTACCACATGAAATGTTAAATTTTAATACACACAAACTGAAAAAGGCATGCACAATTACATGACACTTACTTTTATTGAAGATCTGGTGATGATTGATGGGATGGGAGGAGGGGAGAGAGAGTGTTAGTGTTTAGAAGGGGAATCCCCTTCCATTAAGACTTGAGGTGTCGAGTCCTTTTCTGGGGTTACTTCCCTTCTTCTTTTAATGCCACTAGGACCAGCTCCAGAGTCACTGGACTTCTTTCGCACAACATATCTGTCCATAGTGGCCTGTACCTCTCGTTCCTTTATGACTTCCTAAAGTGTTTCACAACATTGTCAGTGTAATAATCACCAGCACGGCTTGCAATAGCTGTGTGAGGGTGATTCTCATCCATACAGGTTTGCACTTTCAGCCACATTGCACAGATTTCCTTAATCTTTGTAGTAGGCAACTTCTTCAATTTCTCTCTCCCCTCCTCTGAACCAGTTTCCTCAGGTATGGCCTCTTGCTGTTGAAGTTGATCTATCAGCTCATCAGTGGTTAGTTCTTCATTGTCCTCCTCCACCAACTCTTCCACATCCTCCCCACTAACCTCCAACCCCAAGGACTTTCCCAATGCCACAATGGATTCCTCAACTGGCATAATCCTCTCAGGGTTAGCCTCAAACCCTTCAAAATCCCTTTTGTCTACACATTCTGGCCACAGTTTCTTCCAAGCAGAGTTCAAGGTCTTCTTAGTCACTCCCTCCCAAGCCTTACCTATAAGGTTTACACAATTGAGGATATTAAAGTGCTCTCTCCAAAACTCTCTTAGAGTCAGTTGAGTTTCTGAGGTCACTACAAAGCACCTTTCAAACAGAGCTTTTGTGTACAGTTTTTTGAAGTTTGCAATAACCTGCTGGTCCATGGGCTGCAGGAGAGGAGTGGTATTAGGAGGCAAAAACTTCACCTTAATGAATTTCATGTCCCCATAAAGTCGCTCTGCCACGTCTGTAGGATGACCAGGGGCATTGTCTAACACCAGGAGGCACTTAAGTTCTAATTTCTTTTCAGTTAGGTAATCTTTCACATTGGGGGCAAATGCATGGTGTAACCAGTCATAGAAAAAGTCCCTAGTGACCCATGCCTTACTGTTTGCCCTCCACAGCACACACAAATTCTCCTTG